CAATTTGAGTTACCAAACGGTCTCCGATTTTGACGAGCTTATACTCAAATTGAACGGATCGACGAGACGAATCCAACGAGCCCAAGATTATCAAATTAAGACATCATTAAGGCCTTCAAATGTCCAACGAACGGTGCATGATCAAAGGATTCGATATCGGCCGTCCATTAAAACCACTCCCTGTTCGCCCTTGATCTCACGCCTACTTACGGGCTATCCCACCCCAGAAATAATATAAATAGAGCCCTCATTCTACACCAAGGGAACTCAAGTGAAGAGAGAGAAGAAGAAGAGAAGAAGAAGTATAAAGGGGAAAAGGAGATTCCTCACCTCCTCGACCACCGCCGGGGCTCTCCCTGCCGCCTGAAGACGCCGGAACTCTGCCGGATTTTCGAGAAACGTTGGAAATTTGCAAAATTTTGTAAACTTCATGGAAGAAACAAATTGTATTTGGATTATCCCAACTTGTGAGACGAATCCGCCATTTGTAATCTACAAAAACACTAGTTGAACTTTGCAACTGGGCAAGGCCCCGTGGTTTTTTCCCTTTTAGGGTTTTCCACGTATAAATCCCGGTGTTCATTTTCTCTTTACTATTTGTGTGTTAAACTTACGTGTAACGCTCGAACACGAATTTACAAACTCTACCGCCGCTCTACCGCCGCGTATTTTTGAACACGCAACAACTATATATTTCTACGTAGCCTCACAAAATCCAGACGCATCTTGCGTCCGGACTCCGCACAGAATAATCTCTCCAATAAAAGACCCTACCCAACAATTCGATGTGAATCCAACCCAAAAAAATTCGAATTCAAGTTGACATGTTTAATAAACGGGTCAAATTCGGGTCTAGAATATTGACCCATTTAATGTGCAGGTTGGGTTTGGGTTATCCCATGAATTCAATTTTGACTCAAAAGTGACTCATTTAATTTTTTTCTTAAATTCTTTTGCTTGTTCGTATTCTTTTTTTTTTCATCAATTAAGCAAAAACAGATTTTCGGGTCTGATTATGGCCATCATATTGTAGCGAGTCGGGTTTAGGTCAACCTTTTTGATCGACTTCTTAAACAAGTTCGATCCGGTTGACTAAATTCTAATCCAATCAATGTCAGGTTGGATTCTAGCTAAATAAGTTAATCTATTTTGACACCCCTTAGAAAATATTATTTGATTTAACTGTAAATCAAATGCAGGAAAAAAAAAAGAGGGAATTCATTAGAAAAAAATCGAAAACTATATTAAAACTTAATTTCTGCATCATAATATCTTTGGAACTTTCAACAGTTCATTCAATTAATTATGCGAAAGTAAGAGCCATAGCTGCAAAGCACAATGTAGAATAGGATTATTTATCTCGCTTAATGTCGCCACGAATCGCACACTTCTTCAGTCAATAATTACATTGTTCATTGGAAGAATAAATAAATAAACATATTGGTAATAGTAAACAAGCTATTAATTTACCAAGCACAAGAAATGCCTAAATGTCATGCACGAAATGTGGAGTAATTAAATAACATTATGTGTACTTTTATAAAATATGAATTTAACTAATGGAAATTTTTTTTTTTTTTTTTAAGTGAGAGTATCACATATTTATGAGAAGGAAAAATGGAGAAGATAATAAAGCTCACACTAACAAGAATAAAAAAAAAAGAAGCTTTCACATCACTTTAGACGGGC